TTTAGAGTATTCCATCTCGGAAATGTCGTGCCAGATTAATGGTCTCATGCCCAGTGCTTTCAAAATCCTTCAAAAAAGTTGAAACCTCAACTAGTTACTTTAGTTTCCTGGTTCTCGTCTGCTGTTTGAACTTTATAGTCTACGTTTCACACAGACATACTAACACACTATCAAAACAATTCGCTTTGAATTTAAACACTTTGTATACCCACTTTTCTTAAAAAACCTTTAACCCAAGACATGCGTATTGGAAAAAATAAGAATATATGTTTAAACGCTAAACGCTTTTCCATGGCACATTTTCAGCCTCTTGAACCCACGTAGCACATAAACACTTTCCTCTTGAACCCACTTAACATATAAATACATTCCTCAACGCATAGCAATAAACATGTCGTGGTTAGAAATGTTAAAAAAGGTACAAAGAAGTGTCCAGAAATGTGATGTCTACCGATGTCTCATTTGTTTCTATTTTGTTCAATCGAATGGAACATAATCACAGATTTTTCTCTTCATCGGGTGGATACCATTCTCCTACAGCTTTGCGTAAAGGGCGTATAAAAATTGAAAACTCGTCTTTATTTTCGTTTTCTGTAGGTGGCGTACTTCATCATGCCTATTCCTCTCATTCTTGTCTTTGCTTTGCTCATGCGCGGAGCAACGTTGCCAGGAGCGGTTGATGGGCTGATCAGTTTCCTTGCCATTGATTGGGCCTTTCTTCAGTCTTGGGACGTAGGTTGTATTCACGCGTACATGTACCTTGATCATTTAAGATTAGCCTGGAAGATCAGAATTTCAAAGAGTGTTGTGATCTTTCAATTTAATTTTCTCTAAAAATTTTCCTTCCCGACAAAACTGACATTTCTGAAGATCCGTTGTCGGTTTTGTGTTGAGTGTTTGGCTTCAGTTATCGGCAGCTCTTTGAATGCATCTCAGGAACGCTATTAAATGCGGAAACTTAAGTCGACAAAGGATAATTCGGAATCAACTGTAAACTAGTCCATGAGGCGGATTTTTGAAGGCCTTCTATTTCTGATTACCCATATTTGTTTTTGTTCTGTTTTTAGCTGTGGATGAGTGTCTTTAGTGAAGCTGCCTTCACCGGTGTTATGGGACATGGAGTATTTTCAGCGTTGTCAAGTTACAACAAATTTCACAACAACCTGTGCCTGTATGTTCCTGATTGAAACCCTTTGTCATGTCGTTGATTGGTTAAAAACAGAAATGCTGTGCCGTGTTATTGCTGTATACAAATTCGGGGTTTTCGTTCAAATATAGTTTGAAATGAATACAGTTACTGATCAGTCATAATCATAGTCGTTACTGTTCAGCACTCTTGTAAATGAAATGCAAATACTGAAGCCCAACTCAACTTGTTTTCCTTCGTTTATTAGTGAAAGCAATCTCATTATAATGAGAATCACTTGTTTACTGAAATTCAATGTAAAAATGCTTTTATATTCTTTTAAATGCACATGGCCTTGTTTTCTATCTGAAAGACGTCAGCGTTTCCAATTATGCCTTCCTAACCCTTTTCTCTGTAAAACAAAAATGCCAAACCTTTGTTTTTTCTCATCGTTTCCGGCAAGAGTGTTTTTGCTGGAAAAGAATTTTGCACGCAATGTTCTGTCTGCCTTCTGTTTGCATATTTTAACTTGTAGTTGGTGATTGTCATTTGAACAGTGACGCCCTTTTTGTCACGGCTGTCGCCATTGTCTTCAAGATGATGGTGCTCTTAACAGTAGCAACATTTCTTGGTTACTGTGCCTTTTTCAATGGAACCTCTGTTGGGTACATTCTTGCAAACGGTAAGATGTTTGTTCTTGAATTGGTTTCCTCTCTGTGACCCAGTATTACTTCTCTTAAGAACGCTTAATATGTGCCTAATGAAATCTTGAACTGGAAGATTATACGTACGTCTTTATACGTCTTTATAACATTTAGCCATTTTGTGTATTCAGATACATTGTACCTCTTTCTAGATGAGAATTTTGACACGGCTATTTATCGAAGTAGAAATGCCTTATACATTAAACGTGTAAGCTCAATGCATACTCCACGTTTTTTGCTGTAATGTTTTAATGGTTCAACTACGTGTACATGTATAAGCATTTTCATGCAAAGCACATCGCATTGTGATCTCTCCTACGGGACAACTTCATTTGCATCACTGGAGGATCGGGTTGGTGTAGTAGCATTTCCCTGCCTTCCTCCAGCGTCTTTGAATCCCACCCAGTTTGGCACGTGATTCGGGTTTCCCCCTGCACCTCAAAATCTGGAAATGGTTCTTTCGTCTTCTCAGGATTCCACCAAGGCTGCAGTGAATGAGCACCCTTGACGAAACCTCGTTTCCAATACCAGAAAGAAAACAAATCTGGGAAAAACGTATCTTGTAGGCCTATACATTTGGTTCCGTTCTTTGACCATGCTGTACAGAGATCTGAGACAGTAATTCGGCAGCACAAAATTGGACCTCTGCAGAGAGTATACATCAGTAATACGTGTACATGTATATCCATAAAGTATCACCCTTGTGTGTTGTTATGCACGCAGGAGGTTCTGGTCTCCTCACGACAATGGCTGTTCTTCCAACAATCCTCGGTACCGTTCCTGCGGCCAATGCTTGGACATGCGTGTTTTTCATCACCATGTTTCTCCTCTTCACAAGCTCTTCAGTAAGTAGTTCATGCCACTGGTCTGAGATTTTATCCGTCAGAATTTGGGAAAAATAGCTCAGAAAATATTCTAAACCTGCATTCTTTATGACATGCTGTGTGACAACATTTTAAAATGGGGATAGCAATTTGAAATGATCTGAGACGAATGTCTCACATTGCATGTCGCTAACGAGATTTCCCCTTCCAAATGTTGACCAGTCACAACGTGTTGAAAACGATTTTCTCTTAATGGATAGGGTTGTTAATTGTTTAGTATCTGTTTGGCAGTGTTTGTTTTGGGGGTTGTTTTCTCTGCCAGATCTACATGGTTCAGGCTTTGCTGACGACTCTTCTGGACCTGTTCCATTTGCCGCACTCGGTTATCTTCGTGTTGCCGACCAGCGGCATCATCTGTGTCGTCAGTTTCTTGCTATCTCTTCCCATGGTGACAGAGGTGGGTTGTCATATTGGTAGTATATAGAAGCGTGCCGTCAAAGCTTTCTGGTGACCCTTAAGGAAAGACAAAGAGCTTGATGGAAGTCACGATTTTCCCCATTGATTTCTTCAAAAATTATTTCAGTCAGTCTGGTATTGCAATGGATGGCCCACAAACACTGGCACTGTTAATCACAGATCTTTGAGATCCCCTCCAATTCGAATCAACACTGACCTATAGTCATCTCAGAAAGCGATTCCATAGTAAATGAGCTTAACATTTGCCCACGCTTAACACGATGTTCTCCAAAGCAACTAGTTTGAAGTTCCATCATTTGACGTAGGGCTTATTAAGTATTATAAATGGATGCAGCTGACACCAGCGATGAATCGAAGTACAGCTGCCGTAGTTTTAGTCAATTTTTTTTTAAACATTTACAGTCTGGGTCAGCTATCCTTGAGGCTCTCGAAACCTACACTGCCTACTGGGGTCCTTTGATTGTCGCCATTGTTTTGCCGCTGGTCTCAGTCTGGATGTACGGTAAGTTCACATATTTTATGGCGAGGCACACTGGTTTAGTGCAGGTTGATTTTTCCTTTAATCAAGCGAAGCTCCAGCATTTATTAAAACTCCTAAACAAATCTTTTTCACGAGGATGCCACTTTTTATCATGTTTCCTGAATCATATTCAATTTTAATCTGTTAAATGGGGAGGTGTGTTGTCAAACCATTTTGGTTCCAATCCTCGCTTTTTTTTTAGAAACAGAAACACAAATCTTAAGTCATTCTAAACAATCTGCCTTGACATGCGTGAACTTTTATTTGGTTGCCGTTGTTTTGGCTCTCAAGCGAGGTAAAACATTTTCGGATGGCAGACACATGAATATTGTCCGTTGGGTGTTGGGAAAGTTTCACCGAATTGTGGGCTCGTCAATCGTCATCCTAACTTCAATGTTCTTTTAGGATTTCTTTTGTGCATGTACATGTATTCCTTTTGATATTTGTGGCGTGATTCTGTGGACGCACTGAGTAAACGGATGCTCCCCTCAGAGCTCACGTGATTAAAACACCCCTCACTAACCAAACAGAAACCTTGCAGTCTTGCTTTGCAGAAATTCGACCATGGCACTTGACCTGCACTCTTTCATTATGCAAAGCTAAACCACTCCATCAGCCTTATCGTCAACCACGACTGGTTCGATAGACTGCGGTCTTTTCACTACACCATCCTGGTACCGTATATATAATACAGCTAAGAATAGCTGTTACGTGCGTGTTCGCAGATGAACGTGTCATATCAGGGACAGATAGCTGATGTAGCTAGTCTGAATGTACTATTTTTTACAGTGATTTTTTTTTCATTTGTAGGTACTGTGCCTAAATGGAATATCATGCGACTGTCCAAGGAAATCCAGGCAATGGTTGGCTTTTTCCCTCTGCCCATTCAGTGCATTTTCATGTTTATCTGGGCTATTGTTATACCAGCAGTGTCAGGGGTACGTATGGAAGTTGCGAAGTTTAACTTGAACACGTTTTGGTTATCCTTGTCATTTCTTTTTTTGTAAATCGTGTTGTTTGTTGCTGATGGGTTGGTAGTGAGCAGAACAGCAACCAAAAACATCATGTCTCAACTTTGTCTTCCTTTTATGCCGTGATCCTTATAAAACAACTCAAAGTTAAACTGATTTTAAGGCACTCCGCATGTGGTGTATAATGGTTCATTTAAGTTAAGTTGGCGTCAAGTGTGCATTATTTTAAACAGTTGTGGCATGGCCTTATATAGGTCGTAAAAGAACTGCATTTTGAATGCTGATGACATTTCTTTTATTGAAACTTTAGACAAAGTGTTGAATCAGCTCTGTTTACATATGCCTCAGTTTTGTTGAAGACAGAAACAAATGCCAATTCTCTGGCTCGTTAATCCGTACCTCCTAAATAATAATATTGTCCATCTTTTAACACCAAAGGCTGGTATTAGGTCATGGATATTGAACAGCCAGATTGGAATTGAGAATTGTTGTGGGGTGTGCCGTCGCAGCCGTGGTGCGTATAGTGAACAATGGACGAATGGGAACCTTTGAAGGATCATGAATCTGACACATAAATTGAATAGACCGGAGTTTGATTCCTGTCCCTTTGGAACACCTGGCCAGAGCACTGCCAGATAGCAACCTTGCGATTTGGAGTCGTTTAATTTGTCAAGCTGGTTTAGCTACGTGTGGCGGAAAAAAGCGAGCGGGGAGGGGGGGGCTGTTATCTCGGGTGCGCGTCGGGACTCAAGCAAAGAAAAGGGGTAGGGGAATAACTTCATTCGAGCTGACCCGTTACCGACATCTTCAACGATAGCGCTGCCACCAGGCGGAAAGTGTATAAACCCCTGGAGTTCCGCGTCACCGGTTTAGTATTTCAAAATCTAAGGCAAAGCTTTGCTGTCAAAATATAGTGATCAAGTGAAGAGATCAGTCGAGCAAGAGTGTAAGATTATGTCCCAAGGAGGACAGACAAATCCACTCAAGGAATTTACTATGCAGACCAGTTTCAGAACAACTCAACAATAGTAACTTAATTCAAGTCTGAAAAATGAGGGCAAGGATGAACTGAGAATAATTTATACAAAGTTGATTTGTACTCTTTACAACTAATTATACGGCGAACTCTAATACCTTCACTGTAATAGGAGTAGGAGCAAAATATAAACCACCGTCTTAAGAATTATTGGAGTGTAGCGTCTAGGCAGCAAGTCTAGGCAACGGTTGAGCAACACTTGTCCCCACCAATTCATGTGCTGCTCACCAATAAATCTCCAGTAAATCCTTAATTTAACTCTAGGCCCCACCTAGGCCTGTCATAAACTTAATGAACACCACTACGCAGTCCTGTGCCTCTCTTAAACCAAAATAGATATAACTAGCAACTTCCGTGCCTCTCATAAATAAATGCCCAAGACTTTATCCAAGGCCTCTGACGGGTCTGCCAAAGTAGTTTCTGGAATATCCTGACCACCAGTTACTCTTACTCCTCCCATAAGAACAAAGAACATTCTGTAAAATCCCTTAAATTCCTCTGAAACATTGGACAAAAAATCGTGACTGAATGTAAACATGCCCGACTTCCATTGTGCAAAGTGCAGTGAGGTCAGGTGATATTCACTGAAGTGAGCAGACGGTCTGTCTCAATACTTCAGAAAATAATTACATGCAATTACAAAAATACTTGATCATCGAAACTCATCTAAAGAAGTCAGTTGGGACAGATAAAATAAAGAAAAGTTTCTACTCCTAAATGTGCCAGTTCTACAGTCTAAATATGAAAATAATCGAATAAAAACTTTGGACCTCTATTGAGTAAAGTTAGAGAAACGGAGGCAGCCATTTTTAATCTCCCTAACTATTTTTAGCACAGTACAAGCACATGTATGGCTGTGTACAAAACAGCTGATTATGAAGTTAAAACCATACACGGTTCGGGCTGTTTACACTCCACAAAGTCACCAAATTCACCAGACTGCTATCACAACATAAGGTAAGGTAAGTTTATGGGAGATAGTTTAGGAAGAACTTTGGAAGAGAAGTCTGTTATGAAAAGAAATCATCTGCATCACAAGAAAATGACTTGGGGCATTCTCACAACATACGTCTCCAGTGGAGCTAACTGGCCCCGTGTGTGTGATTTCTAAATGAGTACACGTATTCGTCTATAGACGAATATTCATTTATAATATGTTCTGTCCGTTTTGCAGGTATTGTTCGGCTTCTACTTTTTACAAATGTTGACATGGCCGGTCTATTTCTACCGCCCTCACTGGATGACATACATCTTGCTTGTCATGGGTCTTGTACCGCTACTCCTAATACCAATTCTTGTCGCTGTCTGTCAACTTTTCAAGAGGAGACGAGGCTACACATATTTCACACAGGTATTGTTAACTCTCTATGTTAATGCTCAACGCAAAATGTGCGTTGTATTAATGTTTTTCACATTATGCATATTTATTAAGTAGCCACGCACGTTCTTATATTATATGACAATAATGTGTGCGATCACGGGTGTCGCACCCCCACTGATTAGCTTTGTCGGCAAAATCATGGTCTGTCGGCAAAATAAAAAAAAAAAAAGAACGGAGAATGAAGATGGAAGGAAGGGGGATACAGTACGCTCGGTTTTTGTAACAGTCCGTCGGCAAATCTCATTTGCCCCCACCCTGCAAAGTGGTCTGGCGATGTCCATGTGTGCGATATACTATTTAGATTATCAACGCTGGCTGATCTTTCTTTTTTTATTTAATTTATTTGATTGACTTCCCCATTGTCCCAAATTCACCTTTAAAGGCATTCTTATTACGTCTGTTGACCTTGTCGTGTGTACATGAACCCAAGGGTGGAATTCTCTTTGCCAAAAAGTGAACCCAATCACTTTCTAGTGGCTCTCTTAAAATTTTATCAGATACATGAAAAGTGGAGAAAGGACCGAGACAGTGATATGAAATCAACCTAGAAAGAAAGAAAAACCCAGGACATTGAACAGGCACATAAAATATTTAGACTTAAACTTTAACATAAAAGCAAACAAATGCACATTAACAACATACGTGTTTTCGGGTAATTACATCAAATAGGCAATAAGGAAGTATACAAAACATTAACACCATTGTTGAATATTAGCACTAAAAATAGGTATTTATATTATTATAAGATTAGATAAAAAAGATAATGGATAATATGAGGGCGGGAGATGATCAGCCATTACAGATGCTGTTTTCTATATTAGAAATGTAGTTCGGTCGAACAAGATACTGTTACAAGTCGTAAGTGTTAAGGAGTCCCCAAATCGGACAAACAATGATTGGTGAAAAGTATTAGTTTGTGACTGCGTATGAATGAATTTTAAGCGTGTTTAGATGTCGCTGGGGAATTTACAGTAGGAACATTGAAACTGGCAACAAAGGACAATGAGAGAAATTCAAATTGATTCATTACGAAACATGTTGCAGATATTCCACGTTATTTTTCAGAAATTTTCGTGCAGTCGGGCATCTGCCTATAAGATGACATCAGTGTTCTTCTCATGAAAATGGAATTTATATTGGCACAAAGGCCCTAAAACGTCACTGGCGGGGGGGGAGGGGCAGTGCCCCCTCACTTTTCCCATAAGGGGCAGCCCCCATCTTGTGCAGGGCCTATACTGGGATGGGGCTTAATGGATCGGCCAATTAATGGCCGACTCCTGATCTCCTCCCAACTGCCCCCCCTTTGAGAATTGTTCCACCACCGCTGTAAAGCATCGCTGGAATCTGTCTAACCATCAGACACTGGCGCAGATGAAAGAAAGCTATAGGGCCTACTGAAAACCATTTCTTGTATACTTTTATCTTTCATTTCAAAGAAGAGATGACAAGGTGTGAAAATTCGGCACCGAAGCTGTACACTGCAGGAGACGAAAACTGGTTTAATTTCTCCAGTTATGTCCATACTTTTTTCTCCCAACATCATGTCCATGTTTATCTGTGTGAGGAGTCTAAAACATACATTTTTTGTTCTGTGTGATCCATGATTTAAGTTGTTTTGGAAAGCTGCTGTACCCTCTGAAGACTGGGGTCCCTCGCTTGAGCTTCACCGCCAGCAAGTTGGATACACTCCAAGCACCGAAGGAGAGCGCCACCCCCTCAACTCTGAGGTGCACTATAACCCTGCCACATCGCACGTCGTCACGCACACGGTGCCAGATCCGGCCGGAGCTGGCTACCCGCACCTGCGGCAGTACAGCCCCCCGCCACCGGCCTACAACGACCACCAGCCAGGGACCAGCAGCCCGGGTTCCGCTAAGAACCTCTCGCCGGCTCCCAGCTCTACGGGCTCCGGGCTGCCGACCATCTATCCGAGTCCCTTGGTGGAGGCCAGCCAGCCACAGCCTGCCTCCCCAGCCACCGTCTCAGCTACGGACACGATGGGCTCCAATCGTCTTTATCCATCAGCGACGATGGATTACACGACAGGTGGTGAGACAGACTTGGCCCTGTCGGAGCCCGAAGACTCCTTGTTCGTCAATGTGTCATCTCACGAGACCACGCTCTGAGACGGCTAACTTCAAGACATGCATAAAGACTTACCTAATCAGAGAAGGGTGTATTATCTGCTTTCACAATGATACTTCAGAGGAACAAGAAGATGCCTTTCAGTTAACCGTGTCAAAATTACTTGGCTGCAGCTTGAAAGAACACACGACCCTTTGGTAGTGGCTACATAGACTCGTTTAATAAATTCAAGTGGCAGCCGAGTACACGTGTAATTCGGACATGGCTGAACATAACATTCAGCCGTCCCGAGACTGAATGTCCTCTGGTGTGTACATATACATGCGTTATACTTCTTGTATTCATGAGCCAAGAACCTTCGAAGAGAAATCGGGAAAAAATTGAGACTAGAAAACTCGGTTTTGTGATTCAACACTGAGGCGAAAAAGTACACCTTGAACAATATTTCTTCAACAGTTTCAGTGGTTAGTAGACCTTTAGGCTATTAAACCGATATCTGTACTTATTCATGCACTGAGCACAAACAGTGTTATACCTGTAGTTTTCCTCATAGGATGTATTCTGTACTCTGTTTTTTATGTTCCCGTACTTGCCACGGTTAGCCAAACTGTTCATTTATATTTGTAAAATTAAGCGTTCCTTTTGGTATATGTAAACTGTAAATACTTTTTGAGGAAAACAGCAAATGTATTGTCAATATTTCAGGGATTTGAAATGTTAGGTGCATTTGCTGTTTAGTTTGGGTTAAGTTTGGATATTAGTAGATTGGCTAATAATAATGAGTGTTTTTAAATGCTCCCAAAACTGGAATCATGGTTATCGAGTTTAAAAATGCACACTACACAAAATCCGACGTTGTTTCTGGAACGAAATGTGGGCCATGAAGGAAACTGATATTTTAAAGCCGAGTTCTTGTCGATCAACAAGAGGCTTAACATGAGTTTTTTTACTAAAATTTAAATAAAGTAATGAGACATCTTTTGCACAAAGATCATTGATATACAAATGAAAAACGAACGACCGAAAGGCAATACGCGAGAACACTTGTGTGTCAAAAAGTAACTAAACCGCGGGTCGTAAATGGCGATTTTGCGCGTTCATCCAAATTTACTGCCTCGCCATCAATCATTGAAAAGTACTTGTCTACAATGCCTGTTCGTTTTTTATGATTCAGACAGGGAATAACTTAATACTTATCTTTTTCTTTATCCTTTTTGGAATTTATGGAGGTTTGGATGGGAACTGACAGAAATCTTTGCTTAAATTTTTAATGTTTAACGCATGTGTAAATTCCAATCTCGATGTCTGTTTTTACATTTGTTCTTATCAATCGTTTCAATAAGCTGTCAGTATAACACTTTCATTTTACGTAAATAGTTTTCAGCAATTCATTATCGAATGCGTAGTTTTATAGACTGGGGGTTGGGCAAGACGTAGTTGGGCTTGGAGTAGATTTAAAGAGAACATTGTCATAGACTGTTATTTAAAAGTAGACCCAGATAAGTTCACGTTGCTGGACAGGTTCATCGACATATGACTTAAGGTTTGGTTCGAGGTTATCGCGGCACTTGGAAGAGGCAGCTTTGAAATGATTGGACCGCAGTGAGAGAGGCATGGAGCCCCATGGGCATCAGTGGCGTATCCACGTCTTGTGTCCCGAGATCTAGTGAAATTTCTCTCAAGACAATCCACAAAAGAATCCTTACACTCACTGCCATAACAGGTGGTTGTGCCGTTTCTAAAATGCTGGCTCTTTTCATTTCTAGGATACGCGTCAGTCTGTGGTCCTTGCTTGAATAGTTGAGATTGGATAGGAGCACAGGCCAACCAAGGTGCGATTGAACATGTCCGCTGTTTTACATGTATGTTACTTGCACGAACTTTGAACATTGCTGAACAAATCCCGCATTTTGTCTCTGTCCCTTAAGTTCAATGTTGCCTTGAAGAATGCCAAAGCAGGCGCCGTTCTATACAGCCATTTTTTGGGGGGGGGGGGGGTGGGATGGCCAGACCTTTCACACGTGACGTTACCTTTAACTTGTGTTACTGCTGTCAGTTCTGTTTCTCCACTTTTTTGAGGGGGGGGGCTGACAAAACGTTTTGGGGGGCTAGAGCAACCAACCCCCCCCCCGAACCGCTCCTGTGCAAAAGATAACTGCTTTCACAATGCTTTGAATGTTAACTGTTGTAATTAATCTTTCTGTTGTTTTTTGGCCTTTTAGCATCCATTAATAACAGAATTTTCACATAACAGTTACTGTGCTTAATTATGAAATGTTTGGAGCAGTAAACAAGTCATTATGTGCCAACCCAAATGGAAAGTTAGTCCAGTACACTATTGCAATAAATATCCTACATGTAAGCATTGGCGATAAAACAACATTTTGTGCAAGGTTGTTCTCTCTCAAGATGATCCCTTGTCCTGTTTCGATAAGCGAGTAATAGTACCCTTTTGATAAAAAAATCAGAACACTCCTTTAGCACAGGTAGAATGTCAGCGAAGCCGTTAATTTTCCGTTATAATTCTGTTCTTTGTAAAAGTTGAGTCGCTATCAAATGCGTTGCAGTGCTTTCACGATGCCATGCTAACAAGTAAAGATAAACAACTCTCACATGCAAACCTTGAGCTGCAGACTATTACTTTAAGAATTTAAATTTATCGCATGGACCTGTTTTTCCTGGTTTTATCCACCTCGAGCAGAAGCACCCCCTCATCGGTTGAAATAGCCGCGTTGGTCGGGAGTATATTCATTTTGTTGGTAGCGACGCGACTGTAACCTTTGTGCTTCCTAGTCGTTCGTGAACCAGCGATGCGCAGTTTGGCGGAGGCGCATAAAAAGTACCCGCAGAAGAGGGGTCTCTTAGGGCCAAAATTGTGGGATTGTGTCAGTATGGCCCTGGATCTTCTCAGTAGATTCAGGGGCACCCACCTAGGGGCAAAGCAGACAAAAAGCTGTCTTGTTGTTATTCATGACAACTTCTTCTGGTACTCCTTTACGTGCAAGGTGTGTTGTACCTCCTGATCTTAGGCTGTGGAGACCATACAAACTTGTGTTAGTTTCACCTCTATCTTTCAACGCTTGGAGAAAATTTCCACGCAGCGAGTGTAACTAAGCGGTTTGTTCCAGAGGCTGTGTACTCGCCTGATAAGACAAAGGGGTAAATATGAATAAATTATCTTCGCTTATCTTAATATTCCAGCTTGATAGAGATCTGAGTAAAATGCTAGCAGCACAGTAAGTGTCATCCATACAGGGAGGGTAGGCCGAGGTTCCATCCCTAAAAATGTCTGTTTTAGAACGGGCTAATGTGGCTAGCTTTTATTTGGGCCATTTCGTCGTGTCTGAACATTGAGACAAAGGCGAGAGATACATAACAAGCGGTTTTTAATTGTAAAGACTATTTCCAGGATGGCCTAACTTCTCTGAAATCACTTTTACTTAGCTTTTGCGTTATCGGCTCTTTTTGAGTTGGGGCTTTGTGGAGCTGTCACCTTCCGCCAAGAGTTACATTATGAACAATAGGGGAGTCTGCTGGATTATGAACTGAGTTTACAATGGAATGTAGCCATTTAAGCGTATGGCGCACAATGGGGCGGTGAATTTTTGAGAGCCAAGAAGAGAATTTTTGTTTCGACCAAGAACCAGGGAGGTACCCTCAATGACGATTTTGTCTACGATCCAAGGCAAAAAACCGGACCATAAAATTGGCCAGAAGACAGAGGATGGCCACCATGGAACCACAAGGGTGCGCAGTTGCCTTGCATTAATGTACATGTACATGTGATGAAGAACACTTGGTGCTAGAACGACGGGAGGGACTTATAAGCAATTTTCGCCCGACCAATTTTGGGTGAATTGAAGGCATCTACCCCAGATGTTCCAGGGTTCCAGAACCTGGAAAAGAACCGCTTTACCTTGGCGTTATAAAAGCAAGCAAAGCAGTCAACAGAGTAGGGGCCCCACCTTTGGGTTAGAATGTGAAATAATTCATCTAATATGGACCAGTCATCCGTATTGAGTCTGCTTGTCCGTTCTCAGTCCTAGGAATCCAGTCATTCAACCTCTAGTTCAATATGTTTTTTTATACAGAGTTGAAATATGTCTACAGCGATTAAGTGAAGCTCTGCTTTCATGCTGTGTTGGTGTAATCTAGGGAAAACAGTTTGTTGACTGAATCAAGTAGTTTATCTATTCTTCTTTAGAAAACTTGGAGAGTCCCTGATGGACTGTTCCAAATCATACTTAACCACTGAAAGGATGTTGGGGACCGAAATTAGTTTTGTCTGCATTAAACGCTAAACCTGATCTATGTAAATCAGCCTTGACGTGCTTGGTTCTTTAGCAGTGCTAAGATGACAGTTCTCGGAGGTCTTGCTGAGGTGCCAGTGATTGTGATCGGCCAGTGATGCGAAGGATGTACTTGGGATAGCGCCATCAGACCAACTTGACGTTCCACATCGGGGGTTGGAGAATGGAAACTCTCACACAGAAGGGGTTCATGGAGTGGAAGTTTACCTGTGGCCATCGGGTTAGGTCTGGCTCTAGCCCTGACTTTTGATGGCAAGCCGTTTGCCCATGTACAGTTTCTGGACAAGTGGCCTGTGTTCCTGCAAGTGAAGCAGACCTCAGAAGTTGACATGCCTGTGGAAAGCAAAGGAAAGATAAGGAGAGGGCAGTGGCCTTTTTGGGGGGGGGTATAGGTGAAATTCCCAAATATATCTTTCCTCTGTGGGCCGGTGGGCGGGATTATACTTATGCCTAGGACTTGTACTAGCAATGTACAATAGGCGTGAACTTATGGGCGTCGTTAAGGACGCTGCTTATATTGTAATTTTACGCATCATTGAATCAATAAGAAACTGGTTTGAATAAGGAGTCATGGGGTGTGAAGTGGCGGGAAGGAGGAGGCCCTCTGTTGTTCAAACAATTCAAACTATGATGAATTTACCACTTCATTGTTGCAGTAGACGGAGACCGTACATGCTGTACTGTACTAAGGTATTGCAGTCATGCATATTGATGAGTTGTTACAGGTTACTGGAGACACGTAGATTTAGCCTATCAGATGTCGTTAAACTTGGAGTGCGGAAGTAGGTGGTTTCTCAAACGTACGCACTGAGATAGCTGATTTACAGCTGTTAATTTGGGGGAGTTCCTGGGTACCGTGGACGCCGTGTGAGCCCGGAATTCAATTAAGAACAAGGGTCAGTATGAGGGGAAACTGGATCATGGTTCACATAATCCATAATTAGGCTAGGTGTGAACTCATAGGTGTGAACTCATAACAGCAACAAGATAATCATGCGGACGGCACGTTCGGCTCCTTTTCCAAGGATGGGAGAGGCCGTGTATTCACAGGCATTAATTTTCCAGGGCGGAGGATTGTTATTATATTCGTACATGAAACGAGTATGGTCATTTCACGAAGTTCGGGCACAGTTTATGACAGCGTCCCTTGTTACATCAGTGAAAATAAACATCTTTTCCCTGCATGTGGATTCTAAATTGACATTGTTCTAAATCTTGCTAGGTTCTTGTAGTGGTGTGCTTCATCTTTGCTGAATAATATGACTTAATCCGTTGTAATGTGAAAATAAAGGGCAATAAAAGTTACCGACGTTACAAGTCACAAACTGAGCCCGAACTTCATGGAATGAACCAATTGTTATTGGAAAGTACAGCCAAATGGCCATCTCCACTACACTTTGAATTAATTGTACGCTACCGTTGTATTGTAATGCTAGAGATGTCAATGGTTACGACACACTGGAAGAGACTGATGCAACTCTACTTTTAACTATTTTGTAAAGGAGGGCGCTGTTTCACTGATGTTCAG